TGTACAGTAGATGATATGTTTCATAAGCAAACAGAAAAGGTAAGTGATGAGTGTTTCATGTGCCTGAAATAAGGCCATGCCCGGTGGTCTATTTTCCATTTTGCCCCATGTGAAAATGCAACTCTAGACAGTATTTTAACATCTGGTAGTAGCAGAAGTTAAAAAAAAAAAGTCGAAAATCCTTCCTGACACATTAGATGTCCAGCATGGCTGTATGTGTTTTTGTTATTTATGTAACATTTCCCCTTAATTGGAGCATTACAGGCTTAACTTCAGCTTACGATCCATGATGAAAAAAAGACCAACCATCCACACACAAGTAAATACATGCTAAATCTACTTTGCTTTACATGCATGCACAATGTCCGACAAGCATCAATTTGCTTAAGGAAAGCAATCCAATTTTCTAAAGATAAAGGAAGACGTTGTGGGGTTGTTGTTTTTTTGGCTCTCTCCACTGATCGCTGATCTGCTTCTCTTACCAATTCCGAGGACAAGCCGGAGCGCGATTTGGAATGGCTTGGGAGACCAAAAAAAAAAAAATCCTAAACTCCCAACAACAACAACAACAACAACAACAACACCACAAAAAAAACAACAAAAAAGATGAACGAGAGCACTGGAACAATCTGCAATGGTAATCTTGGCCTAAGTCGACTTTTTTGCAGGCGCTGAAATTGTGCGCGGATTAACCAGATGGTGGAACGAGAATCCATCTGATAGGATTAAACTTTGGTGCCTCCCTCTCCGCCATCTGTCACCCACACTGCTGAAGCGCACAGAGCCGCACAACTTCCCCACAGACGGTGTAGGCAAACAACAGCATGGCCAAATGGAGCCTTCTCCCCCCCCCTACACTCCTCGTTCTCTCTTTCCTCCAGGGCAAAAGATATTCCCGCTTGCCTGAGGACATGACTTTTCATCCCGGTTTTCCCTCCGCTGGGTTTAACTGTGCTGGCTGCTGGGATCAAGCTCTCCTTCCCCGCGTGCCAGCTCTAGCCAGCATCCTGGCGAGCAAACTCCGTCTTAAAATGCCTGTCCGTCCGCACACATGGGCGTCTCCTAGCTCTCCGCCCGCGAGCTGAGCTCTTGGAGTCGGAACTGCACCGCCGGCAGGAGTGAGCTCTAACCCGGCCGCCACTGGGAGGACAGCTTTAACCTCCATGCCTCGCTCTCGCCCACCCCCCCCCCCTGCGCGGGAGCCCAGTGTCCCAGCAGCACTAAGCTGTGCCGCGCCCAGGTGGGCAAAGATGGCCGCTCGCTTCCCAGCCACTCCATTTCGGGATCTCTGTCCAACCGGTCAGCGGAGCCGCTAGCTTTGTGGCTCAGCTGGACAATTAAAAGCCTTGTCTCGATGAACTCGGAATGGTATTTGGCTCTACTTCCGGGACAACCTGACATACCTGACAAAACGCGGTAAAGCGCTGTGAAATCATGGTAAAGTGCAGAGCGGTACTCTCCTGACATACCAGGCTAGCAGCATTATATGTTAAATGCGCAGGAATACCGCAAAATTATCCCGCATTCTGACAGCTATCCCAAAGAGTGCTCATTCCCTACGAGCTGAGCAGCACAGGAGCGCCGGTCGGGAGGGGTGAGGTGTGAGACTCCTTCCCCCTGCGTTGTGAATTCGAACAGCGGCTTGGAGGGATACTCGCAGAGCTCCACGCAAAAGGGAGACGAGAGCTCTGCACATGTGGCACCATGGCCCTTCCTGCTCTGCTCTTCTATAGTTCCTGTTTGAGGACTTGAAGCCAAGCAGCTGGGGGCAGCCCAGTTTCCAGGAAGCAGCCGGGCTTATCTTTGGTGCGCAACGCTAGAGCCCTCCCAGCGCTGCCTCCCTCAGCACGACGGGGACCCTCTGCTCACACCAGGCGCTTAATCTTCTCAACACACCGCCCAGCAACAAGAGCGTCCCCCGCGATCCCAGTACAATCAGTAGGATGCATTATTCCGCCTTTTCAAAACCCATCTTTAATATCGCTTAAAGCCTTTATTTGTTTCTTTATTAAGATTGAATTACTTTGAAAAAATATGGTTTTTCAATCCACAGAATGCTAAATGAGAAAATTATTGGATTTGGGTTTAAGTCAGTTTAACGCGGACAATCAGTTTATGAATCATCTGCCTGTGTCATTAGAGCGCATTAAAGGTTTGCGGTAATGCACCAACCTGAGGCCAGCTTTGGGCCATCGTGTGACACTGGCATGCAGTTTTCTCCGAGGAAATAAACGTGCTATTTACAATCGGCCAATCCTCGCAAAGCATACGCACTACTAAAGACGACACACCTCAGGGGAAGAGTCTTGTTTGTCATTTTGGTTTGAGCTCTTAAGAATCTGAAAGAATTAAGGTGGGCAGAAAATCCCTGACAAATCTTCCATCTGTAATTTAAAAAGGGAAAAAAGAAAATCTGCAATGGTCAACTATTCTCAGCGCCGCTGTTCCGGAGCGAGCCAGATGTGCCGTGGTGCTGTCGGAGCCCGGTTGACTCATTCAGGCACTTCTCTGCTCACATGATAGAAGACAAACGGGCCCCTTTCTGTGCCATTCGGGGGAGAGAGCAAAAAAAGCCTGCAGTCAGCCATTTTGCACTGCCAATCGGTAATAAAAATGCAACGCAAGCACGTGCAAACAGCAAATAATCAACAATAATCAACTATTATCAATTATATCAGAGGACCGAATACAAGTGTTCACAATTCTCGAAAAACACCTGAGAAAGGCGACCCACTGGACTTCAGAACCAACAGCGAAGCATGAACCATTGGAAACTATATGGAAGTGCATCTAAAACTGAGAACAGATGATGCGTCTTTACACAAAGGGTGGTGGGTGTGTGGAATAGGCTACCCAGCCATGTTGTTGGCCGTGTTCCTTCAAGAAAAGGCGCCATGAGATCTTGGGATCTTTAAGCTACTGACAACCCAAACGGGCCACATGGGCCGAATGACCTCCTCCAGTATGGATCCGTTCGTATATGCTCTTGGTTTTGAGACGCTACGCATCTGCTTCATGCTGCAGTCACGCCAAGCCACAAGCGTCCTGTGAAAGGCACCTCACCGTCCTGTGTGACCGAGAGCTGGTGAGCGGCCTGCCAGGGGTTAAGAAAGAGCCGTGGCAATAAACCAGGGGAAACGCGGCGCGCTTCAGACACGCTTCGGAGTCGATGACCCGGCGTTCTTCACTGTCAGGAGCTGCAGTTGCCTGGTCATTCCGGGTCACTGCCCTACCATGTCAGACGTCCTCCTCGGAGTGTTAAGCGCTGACTGGAAGCTTTCTAATGAACACATTTGTCACGATTCCTTGCCAGAGCTGCTTCTGAGAGCTGAGGTTCACCGCGCTGCCCCCTTATGAGGAAGGAGGGTGCACCCCCAGTGAACAAACTGGGGACCAGTGGGGGGCTGCCTTCAGAAAAGGACCCGCTGCCATTACAATCCGTGCTGTTCTGATTGGATGGAGTGTGTGTGTGGCGGGGGAGAGTAGGTTATCACATTAATTAGACAGAGGATCTTTGCAGGAGCTCTTGTCATATTCCTGCCTTGCACCGCTGAACAGATGGTTCCAGAGTGTAGGACGAGTAAAGATACCCCTCACCCTCCCCCCCCAGCCCCCTCCATTTTTCCTTCAAACTTTAACCCCCCACTAGTGCCATCCTTCCTCTCCCAGCCGGGCAAAGGGGCAGAGGGGCAGGATCGCCAATCTCCATTAGCGAGCGGCGGCTCGCGGTGCAGTGATTTAGTCACTTCCCCTGGCAGTCTGTCAGCGCGACGTGCCTTGCTTCGCCTGGCTAGATATTAAATCATTAGATAATAAACCGCGGGAGCGTGCAAACTGACAAGGTCTCCGCACTTCACATCGCCTTCACGAGCCCCTCGCGTTCTGCCACGGGGAAGGAGGAGACAAACCGGGCTGGCGTCTGACTCGCCGCCGCCCCCTTCCCCGTTAATGTTTCCCAAAAGCCACCTCACAGCTGGAGGAGGCGTGATCTGCCAGGAGATCCTGCTCCTATGCAGACGCCTCCTCCTGGGCATCACAAACAGAAGCAGGGCGCTTTGGAACCTCCTGCATGAGACAGAGGCCACCCCTGCGCGATCAGCGCCCGGGGTGGTGGGCGCGAGCGTTACAGGGAGAACGTGGCCCAGCCCTGCGGCGCTGAGCTGAACGCTTTCGAGACGTCAACATTTTTGTTTTTGTGCCATCAGAAATTTGTCAGGAGAAGTAAAGCATTAGGGAAATTTCCAGTCGGTCCGAGAGACAGAACTTAACACAACTAGACGCGGCGCTAGGAGCAATGCTGGCAAAGAAGAGGCACTAGCTCAATGCACAGCCTTATCACCTCCAAAGTTTTTATTCCTCGTTAAAACAGGATTGACCTTTTTAATAACAGAAAATGAGTGTGATTTGGTTTGCGGATTTGCTGGGATCACAGTGCCAAGACTGGAATTCTTTTGAGGGATATTAAATCACAAAAGATCTTGCTCTCTAAATAAAGCTGTCCATGGGCGACTGCAAAGATATTTTCGGAGACCCTCTGTGAACCCACTATTACTACAACCCGGACAGCATAACAGATCTGAAGGAGCCATGCTCCTTTAGGGATTTTACCACTTGAACCAGTCTCACTATGATCCACTGACAATACTGGAGCAAATATCCTTCTGCACTTCAAGGCTTGACAGTGGTGTGCCATGAGACCCCAGTACTGTCCTGCAACACTGTACACTGTGTCAAAGTGGAAAGGCCAATACATACTGGGAGTGACCCAGTGCAATTTGTAGCCTGATCTGAAGACGCCACAGGTGCAGACATTGGACCAGGGGGCTGACAGCAGCGAACCACTCGAGAAAAAGCAGATAATTACAAGATAATTACAAAAATCACAGAGGACGAACAGCTCCGGAGACACCACTCTCTCTCTCGCTCGCTGGCTGGCGGGCCACACACAGCTTCACAAGCACCCCCACGAGAAGCCAAGGCAAGGAAAATGGAGTGCCTACCATGTTCCAGATAAGAGGGCGTACCTTCAGAGGGATCGAGCCTCCGAGCCCTCCGGCCGTGCTTGGAGTTGTTGTGCACGAACATGTTGTCGGACACAGCCAGGACGTGCCCGTCCACGTTGACCGTCGTGGACACCACCACCTGGGGCGAAAACAGCAGGGCAGCGGTGTGAGGAACGGTGCTATGCTCAAAACACCCTGATGGACGCCGAGGGGCATTAAAACACACTGCATCAGGACTGGACCCAGCTGTGTTTGTCATGCCTCTCAGTGTATCCCACAATTCTGCAGCACGAGATGTAGCTCTCTCAAAAGGCATCACTAGTCCCCAACAGGCGTGTGCTGGACAAAGTGGATTTCCTGTGATTAGTTTACCTGATCTGACCAGTCCCAGAGAAGAAGCTCTTAAAGTCATGCATTTCCATTATTTGTTACAGATTTGACATCATCAGGTCAGGATATCTGCAAGAGCACCACCAGAAATCGAGGCTGCATAATTAAGAAGGCCTCGAAGAACCTCGTTTTAGGAAAAGAGGTCACATTCCACACTCTTCGCATCTGGTTAGGCGCTGTTTTGTTTTTTCGTAATTGAATGTGCCATGACTTGGTCTTGGTACACGACAGAGTGCAGACGTGACTTCGACATTGACCTCCACGATACGTAATCCCACATCTCACATCGGCCTTGCGAATAGCCTGGAGTGTGGCAGGAGACTCCTGGGGTCTTCCGAAAATCCCCTCACCCCTCCCTCCGACGGTCTATCCCAAGACGCAGGGAGGGTAGAAAAAAGCAATAGTTGACAAAGTCATGTTCTTTCACACGACCTCTGAGAAACAAATATCACAAGCGTTTGCTAATTGCTGTTGCCGCCCTGCCTAAACCCCCTGTCTCCCCCCCCCACCCCTGGCCTCTGCCTGCTGACAGCCTGAGCGCCAATCCACCAACTCCAGCTTAATCCACCTATTATGTCGACTAATTAACTCTGTTCGTCTATTCCCCGTGTCATTATCAGAGCTCGTCAGCTCTACCAGTGCCGGTGCGCGGAGGGCTGCTGGCCCCCGTGATTGATCGCCAATAGATTGACATGCAGATTAATTTAATTAAAAATCGCCTCACTTGAGGAGCGAAAGACAATGGCGGGGAGCTAATAGATTTGCTCTTGTAATAACATGAGCCCCGAGCACCGTTGCAGAAGGGGTTTTGGACTTATTTTACTGAATTCCCCAGCTGACTGCAAAGGCTCTTATTTAAATTGCTCTAAAGCTTCGAGAGGTTTCTGCCTCTGAAGAGGGGAAGTGCTTGTCAAGACTTGGCAAACATTGCTTTCAAGTCTCTAAGGGATATCTATTCGCTCTTTTTTTCTGGCGTTCTTTTTTTCTTCTCCTGAAGACAGCGTGAATGAGGGCATTGTCAAGGTTTCTGAAATCCTGTTGGTGATTTTGCTGTTTGATTTTCGCTGTGCTTGTCGTGTCACTCAGGTGAGAGTGTCCCCACAGGCCTGAGGCCTACCTTCAGTCTCTGAAGGCGAGACGGACACTGTATCTCCGTCCTGTGCCCATTGAGTTCTGCGGGGCGGCTGTCCTCTCACCAGAGAAACACACTTACAGGACGTCCCTGGGTTCGCAGGCACGTGCGCAGGCACTGCGTCCTTTTCGGAAATAAAAAGGTCAGCGCGCGAACTATTTGTTTTTGCAAAACCTTTTTCATCGGCTTGGGGTTGATAGTCACACTTTTTAGTATTTGCATTAAAAAATGAAACAGCAAACAACTAAATGCATTGTTTTAAGCGTGCTCCCTCATCAATTATCATATACTTTCTTCTGTTTTGCAACTGGATATTACTTTATTTGTACATACACTATGCTCTCTTGAGATCTATTGCCTCTTTTCAAGATCTATTGCCTACATGGACAAAACTTCTATACGTTTTTCAATTCAGTTGTTTAAAATGTGCACTTGCTTGCCCATTGAAACCATTAATTATGTTTTAATATTAATTTCCTTAATTAGCAGAAGGCTGTTAAAAGCAGCTACACTACACCTGGTAACGGCTCTAATGGTTTTATCAAGAACACAGTGGTGAGGGAGCCAGAGGGTAGCCTGGCAAGCAACAGGCACAAGGCAGGACACAGAAGTCCATCACAGGGCAGCCAGTCATGCTCACACCAGGGCCAGTTTTCCCAGAAGCCAATTGACCTATCAGAATGGCTATGGCATGGAAACGAGAACACCCAGAGGAAACCCACTGGAGAGAACATGCAAACTCCACCCGGACAGCACCCCAGTGCCGGATCGGACCGAGTGCCCCAGTGCTACGATGCAGCAATGCAAACCACTGCACCGACGTGTTGCCTGGTATCTTCTATCATTTTCACCTTCTTTTCCTTTACCTGCTGTTATGCTCTTCGTTTTGCAGTGGTGTGAATAATTCCATGCTGGTTTTGTCATTTGCGTATATGGTTGAAAAGAATGCTGTAATGTTGTTACATTGGTTGTGCAGCATTATCACAGAGTTGTGACGGCAATTTTACATTACTTGCATGATGCTATAAACTTACCTCAGGTACGGACCTATCCGAAATGCCACATTTTGTTCCTAACCCACACATTTCCAAACAGTTACAACAATTCAGATGATAACAATGACTTTCAAAGCGCAGCTCTCTTCAGCCAAGGGTAGGGTATGTAGCAATCATGAAGCTGAGCTGCAGTTGTACAGTTGCCAAAAAAACTGGAACAGCGCACAAACTGGAGCAATACTAAGCCCGTGGAGCTTAAAGGGAATAGACAGACCATGTAGCTGCTTTCACGGCCTGTAAGATTCACTGAGGTCCTTCAAAACACTCGCGAATGCTTGCTGTAAATCTGCCACGTGAATAGATTCTTTTACGACTAGTTTTACTTTGCTGTTAATCTCCTGTTGCACAACTTAGTTTATCTCTAACAGAAGCATTTAACCTTTTTGTTGTGCTCTTTCCATTAAATGTAATGCAACTTTTTAATTGTTGACGCCTGTGGGGGTAAGGTGTAGGCTGAAAACATTCCAGGGAGTCTTCTGTAGAAGCTTTCCTTCACTTTCTGGATCCTAGGCAAATATTCCACACAGAAGTGCCTGGCAGAGTCCAGAGTCAGCCTGGTCGAACGCTTCATTTCAGCAAAGGGGAAGGGAAAGATAATTTATGCTTGATCCTGAGCCAGCGATGTGCAGAAAAGATGGCCCAATTAAGAGAAACCGTCACATTCAGGAATGCAACTTGATGTCCTGGTGCCTACATCCATTTAACTAGCAGCTTTGGCCAGTTCTGGAGTTGAACGAGCCAGAAGGGAAGAAAAAAAACACTGACATACCCTTCCCTCCCCGAAACATACAAAAATAGTGAGTTCTCTGATCATTAAAAAATCTGGCAATCTTCCTTTCCAACGAATGTCCAATAAAAAGCATTTGTTCAGTGACTCCAGCGAGGCCAAGCCAGGCGTGCCGGTGTCACGGTAAGAATGGAAGAGACTGGAAAACCAGGACAGTCCTGGGAGATTCCCGACTGCATGGGAAAAGGCAGGCAGACACACGCAGACCATTATTCTTTGACATCTAAAGCGAAAACGCAACTGGTTTGCAAATATTATACTGGGGTAGTTTCCTGGTTAGTGGAGGTAATTATATCTGTAAGTGTATATATGCAGAAAGAGGCCTACCCCATTTCTGTGACCTGCCCCGATCGCTAGAGCTAGACAATTAAACCAGTGCCTGCACTAAACAGGGCTCCTCGTGCATAGGAATTGAGCCAAAGCGCAGTAAGGAAAAACATCAGTCCTGGCTCTGCAGAATCCCGCTCCCTCATCCGAGAGCCACGCCGCTGCGCTTCCTTAAGACCAGCGGAGAAGCAAGTGAATTGTTTCCCAAGTAAATCGCAGGAGGGGAGAGAAGAGGATGTCTCCGAGCTCTTGCACGTTCCTCGGCAGCAGGCACTCAGGGTGGCCAGGGGTCAAGGTCTCGTGTTTTCTTGGGCCACACAGTCCGGGGGGGGGGTTATTTATGTAAGCGCAGGGGCGGGGAGGGAAGTATTGAAAACTCATTTGCCCGTCGTGCGTGAAAAGGTGCGACTAATTGCCGCAGCCTTTTGCGAGCAGGCGGCGCGCGATCCCAGAGCGACCGGTAAGAGAAGCCGGCTTGACGGGCAGCCCCTCCCGCCGGCCAGGCCCCTCGCGCACACCGGATGCTGCCGGCTGCCGGGAGATAACGTGGAAATGGATTACCATATGAAAATCAGAGCTCCCTCCGAGTATAAATTAGGCACGTCAGTGCGCTATCGGGAAACAAGAGGCATGGGCAAGACCCGGCCGTGTCTCCCTGTCAGGGGAGCGTGTCGGGGGAGAAAAAGGAAGGGCCTTCTCGCGCAGTTCCATGTTTCGCCATCAATCTGGCTTGGGTCCGGGCAGGCGCTGCTGACGTGCGATTCTCTCCGTCTGACCGCGTGCCTGAGCTTCTCTTTCTCTCTCCCTGTGCGTCATCTGCCTCTTGATTAAAGCTTCACCCGGGAACTTTGAAGGCGTTTATTTGTGGCTTTCTCTTGCGGCGTCGCAGGAGAACGCCGGCAGGGATCCACGCCGCCCAGCTCGGGGGGCCACGACGGGACCCTGCCCTCCCGACTCGGATCGAAGGCAGGGAGGACGTTGCCAAATGGGGCTTCTTGACGGCGGAGGAGCAAATCCCTGTTCCCCGCGCTCCTGCGGAGGACTGGACGCCTGCAGGTTCGGAGCCGGGACAGGGGAGAGACACGGACGACAGCAAGTGGCAGGGCTTAAGGGCAAATCCAGCCCCAGCATCCACTTGCTCTGTTGTAATATAGAGGAGGGTGCATGACTTTGCATGAGTGTGTGCTTATTGTCTTTCTCACACCTGAGGAAGGCTCCACGGCTGAAACGTTGTGTTTTCTATCTCCTTTTTTTCAGCATGGAATAAACCTATTACTTGTTCCTTATTGTAAGATGTCTACAGTGCTATAAAGTTTATTTTGTTTGGGGAAAAAAAAGGCACGAAGAAGGGAGGCGCACTGGCCCTTGTGGCCCTCGCCCCGCACCCCCCTCTCCCCCCCGGCGGCTACGACAAGCGCCTGCTCAGGTACGAGTCTTCGTTGAAGGCCATTATTTTTCACAGGTGTGTCGCAGGGGGTTTCCAAGTAAAAAAAAAGACAGGGCCTTGCGCTTTTTTTCTCCACGCTGAAAAAGCGGCCTTTCTCGAATGGCCATTATGGAACTTCAAACGGTTAAAAATGTTGTAAAAAAGCCAGTCCCAGCAGCGTCAGGCTTCGAAAGCGCATCGCCTGTTTTTCTTTACCGGTGAAGCCCCTTTGACCTCGCTCAAGACAACGATGAAGTGAGACGCAACACAAAAGGAGGAAAGGAGAGCTCGGGCCCTACCTGGAACCTGCGCATGTCCCGGGGGTTTCCAGCGTTCTTTAGGCAGTTCTGGTTGCATTTCAAGAAGAATTTCAGAAAAAACCTGAAAGACAGAAAACAAGATGGCCGTCAGCTATGCAGCGAAGGACATGGGAATGAAGCAGAAGGACGCAGGCAGCAGGCCGGCACCACCCACTGGAGAGCGTCTCCATCAGCTCCAGTCCTCCAGCGTTCTGCTCACGCAGAATTTGAAATCCATCCAGCATATGTTTGTGCTTCCATTTCCATCCTTCTTTCTGTCCATCTGTCTGTCTTTCTCTGTCCATTCATTAATCATTCTCTGTCCATCCATCCTTTTCTCTCTCTGTCCTTCTCTCTGTCCACTCATTTATCTTTCTCTGTCCACTTATCTGTCTTTCCCTGCCCATCTGTCCATCTTTGTGTCCATGCATCTGTCCTTCTCTCTGTCCACCCATTCTTCTCTCTGTCCATCTTTCTGTACATACATCTGTCCATCTTTCTCTGTTTTTTCTCATCCATCTTTCTCTGTCCACCACCCTTCTTGGTCCATCTGTCCATCATTCTGCCCGTCTGTCCACCTTTCTCAGTCCACCCATCCTTGTCCAGCCACCCTTCATTCTGTTTCTATCCACCCTATTAACCAGAGTGCAGTACTGTAGTTTTGCGACGGGTTACTCTACTAAAATCAAATCATGCAAAAATATACATTTTATTTATCAGCTTTCGTTTGAATTAAACCATAGTCCCAGCGGAGGTTCTGTTCTCGGGGGTTTAATACATTGTGAGCATTGGAAAGTCATTCCAAAACAGTTATTAATCCTATCAATCAAACTAAATGAAATTTTTTTAAAAAACTTTAAAAAACCCATCATCATATTTTGTTGCAGAACCAGTTCCATAGTAACTGAAAGGTGGCTGTTACAACAGGACCCTAGCCAACAGTTCCTAAACAGGCCATTATTGTCAGTCAAAACATTTCAAAATGCACCCTAACTCCCCTGACTGATCACAAGCACATCAGCTCTTAAATAAGTCTTCAAATTCTCAGTCGATAGTGATATCCAAAAACTTTATAGCAAGCCTGAGGCAGGTTAGAGTATATTTCAGACGAAAAAGAATACCTGTACTTAAAGGGTATATCAGTGTACTGTTCTTTATGAAAGGCATTGATCACGCCAGAGTGTTTTTTTTCAACAAGCGTAAGTAGTAAGTGACATATAGATACAGCTGCTGTTTATATAGCGTTCCTGTTTATAGTGTCATTGTTGATGCAGGATTTTAAATGTGAACTGGCTGCAAATGCTTTATGTTGGCTGGTTATATATATAAGCAAATAAATATTCAGCACATCACCAACAATCACGATGACAAGCCTGACATGTGGTGAAAACAGAAAGGTAGCAGGAGTCAGACTACAGTATCTGTCAGGAATGATATTTCTGTGCTTCTCAGGAGTACAGGAAAGCCAGGATGCAGACCCACCATGTGGTCTAAACCCTCCATGGAGTACGGTACCGATCTCCCATAAGTAACACACGGCTGTCCAGAGCCTCAGCATGACATGCTGTAGGTGTTTTGTTTGATGTTCCTTAAGTCTCAGAAGCCAATGGAACAATTTCAACATCTGCAGCTCGAACAGCACAGAGCACAACACAAATCGAATCAGGAAAGGTTACAAATGAAACAGCGATTTGGTACATCTAGTCTTTTTTTTTGGTTTACTTCTGATAACATGGCTGGGGTGGCTTGTTCCACACTCCCACAACCCTTTGAGTAAAGCAGTGCATCACATTCTGTTTTTTTAAGGCACATTTGCATCCTAGTTTAACTGTTGACTCTGAATAAGTCCAAGGGGTTGACATCCACAATATCTCTGGATTTCGAATTCTTGAACTAGGACTGCGTTCTTCTCTTTTCAAGACTTAAAGGGTGCAGCTCCTTTAGCCCGTCAGTGTAGGTCATTCTTTTAAGCCAGAAAATGTATCTGGTTGCCCTTCTCTGGACTGATTCTAGAGCAGCAAACTCTTTGTATTGTACTGACCGAAACGGAAGACAATATTCTAAACGAGGTCTTCTGCTTTGTGCAATTTTAATGGAACATCCCTCAGTTCGAATTCTACACTATTAACTATATATCCTAATATTCTATTAGAAGGCTGTCTAAAAGAAAATGTCAACACGATCCAATAGCTCTCTCTTTGGTGCCTCTTGCGTTGTCTTTCATTGTCACATCTGGGCTTCGACACGCTTACAGTTTGTCTCCATGCTTCAGCTCGTATTTTCACATACAGGGAATCCTTCACTTCAGGAGACCTGCAGGGCACCTCCGCCCACCTGTCCACCAACTACGTCATTCTCACGTCAACAGTAAAACCTGTGAATTTGTTTCGAAGGCCTGGCATTTTTTCAAAGGTCGCTTTCCGAAAGGCGCTATATACAACAACATGTGACTGATCCAGCGTTAGAACACCAAACCCAGACGAGGGGGGGGCCACTGGGGTACAGGTACATCACAGCTCTCCATGCCGTCACAGCTGATAAGCCTGCTGGGAGCGTGTCTTGACGGTTCGCAAGAGAGGGAGCAGGACTGATCTCAACCCGCGAGAGATCGGCAAACAGGGGAACCGGAGCAGAGCCGAGCACACATCACGGCACTCCACCGCAGGGCAGGGGAAAACTCTCCTCCTCCCTCCCCTTCCAGGAAGCCTAGCAATGTGGGTGAGGCTGGGGTGGGGTGATGGAGGTGGTCCTCGAACGTTAAGGGTAAAGGAGAGGTGTGTGGGAGG